TGCTGTAAATCACTTAGGGCTGGTGGAGTGACTCAGGAGGCCAAACAGACAATAACCTCTGTCACTTTAAGGTTTCTGTATTAGTTCCTCTGGAGTGGGGACATCAAATGCATTCATGTTTTGTGTTTTCTACCTATTCCTATATCTCCCGTATGTGCTCTCCCCTTGTCATGTGATCCCAGTCCAACCACATTGCTGCATTTGCCCTAGATCTAATGTCTGCACATGAGAGAGAGCATACAATTTTTGGTCTTCTGAGCCTGGCTGACCTCGCTCAGAATAATGTTCTCCGTTTCCATCCATTTACTTGCAAATGGTAAGATTTCATTCTTCTTCATGGCTGAGTAAAATTCCACATCAGTATACTGAGTAGTCATCTGAATAGACCACCATTACAAGGTGGATACAGGTGAGGCCAGGTTACAGACTATCCAATCAATCAAGAGAGTCATGAGAAATGACAACTCATTGATGTTCTAAACAAGTAAGTTTGAGCTGTTTATTATACAACAATTATAACTGACATATGAGGTGTTAAAAATTTTTTAAAGAGTACCCTTTCCTCAAATTACAGCTTGAGGTCTACTAGGAAAACTCATAAAATACAAGCAATGAGAGGCTTACTCTACCAGAAAAATACACAGGTACAGTAGGAGTTAGAAGAATTCATAACTGGGAAAGGTTTCCAGAGTAGGAGAGAAAATATGCTTTACTGGATACAATGTGTATTTCCCTCTTCATGTTAAATTTCCTATTTCCTTTTCCTTTCTTTGTGAAAACATATGAGGAGCCATTTGAAGCACTTACCTAATTGTTATTTCTTCTGTTTCCCAAATGATTACAATACTTGGACCCTGGCAGATTGTAGATATTCAACAAACATCATATTATTTGCAGAACAACAGAGAAACATCTTCTATGACTCACACATTCAAAATTTAATTTGGGCTTTTGTATTAAAAAGAAATAAATGTAAACTATTTAACTCTTAAGATATAACATTTTATTTAGGAAATATGACATTTCATTACATTGAAAGAGAAAGACAAAAAACAAGAGTAGGGGGATGATTCTTTGTTTCTTAACTACTAAACTGTTCTTGGTACCTTGTCCTGTTCTCTTGGGTTGTAAGCCCATGAATAACTCATTACAGCTATTCATTGGCCTTCCAAAAGCACAGAAATGGTGTTTGTATGTTGTGCAACTGGTGACATACCTTTGTTTGCAAACTCCTGATATTATTTTTATATAAATATTATTTTATGAGACTCTGAAAACATTGTGTCTGCAGTGAATTTCCATAATAACAAAATTTTGAATGTTAAGTTTTCTCTTTTCTGTGTTCAGTCTGTGTACTTCTTGCTCTTTACTGTGTTGAGAATGTACACTGCTGTTGATGTCATCCCTCTAACGTCACACGGGACTGAATTGCTTTAGTACTCCTTGGACACCTGGTTCATTTCACAGGCTTAAAGAAAGGTGAAGGACCTGCATTTATCCTATCATTCCAGGCTGTAGGTTTGGATTGAACGGACAGTGGGAAATGAAAGCAAACACAGGGAACGAAGTAAAGATAACTGCAGGAATCAATATAAAACAGACTTTCTATTTTTCCATTTAAATAATCTTTCTCTACTACTGGATGTTTTTATCATCACTATCATAGTCTTTGTCACCATCTAAATATTTTCATTTCATCTTCTCTTGCTCATAGTGGATAAGAAAAGTTTCTTATAATGCACAATTTTACTTATTTTTCATTAAAATCTTTTCATTTAAAAAATTCTACAGATGCAAAAAGAGTCAAAACCAAATCAACCTCACTGAAAGTATTTCCTGTGGTCTCAAAAATAATTTTAGAGCTTCAGGATGTCCAGGACAAGTATATTCCGAGAATAGGCAGAAATGACACAATAGTTGGTGGTTCTCTCTCTCTCTCTCTCTCTCTCTCTCTCTCTCAAGTACTGGGGTTGAATTCAGAGGCTAATGTTTGCTAATCAGGTGCTCTACCACTTGAGCTATTCCCCCCAGCCCTTTTAAGAACATTTTAGCCTATTTTTCAGGTACGGTCTCATGTTTTTGTCCAGGGGGCCTCAAATTGCAATCTTCCTACCTAGGTAAGAAGCCCTGGGTAGCTGGGATCACAGACATGCACAATCACACTTAGCTTATTGGTTTAGATGGGATCTTGCTAACTTTTTTCCTGGGCTAGCCTCAAATCATTATCCTCTTGATCTCTGCCTCCAATTTAATTGGGATCATAGGTGTGAATCACTGTGCCCAGCTCAAAGAATCTTGTATCTACCTTGTTGAAGTATAAATTCAATGATGGAATTTTTCTATCCTGGTTGAAGATATTCTACACATAAATGACATATGATTCAGTTCTTACTATAAGAACATTGTCTGGATGCTTGTTGAGGCCTCATTAAATACATTGATAGATAATATTGAGTCTGTGTGGTTTCCTCCTTCTGGGTAGTTTAAAATCTTTGGGTGTTAATATCACATTAATAATGTGGAATATCAGCTCACATTTCCTTACTGAGTTTCCTACCATGATTATTGCTCTCTTAAACCTAAAAGGTCCTTTTAAGGCAAAGGGAATATCTACAGTTGTCTCATTTTATGGATGAGGAAATTGAATGCACAGAGCATTTACAGCAATGTAGACACAGAATATTATAAAATTTATTGAAATATAGTATTATCTGTTGTATAACCTTACTTACCAACTGAATAAAAAGAAAATTTTTATTTACCTTTCCAAATTAATGAAAATGAGATGCAATGAAAATTCCAATTTTATTACTTTGATGGATTCAGTATAAAGATCTTCTGAAGGCACTGACATGAGGACCATTGATGTGATCTCAGTGTGGAAATGAGAGGATGTTTACCAGTCATCAAAACATTCTATAACTTATTAGTAAAACACGATCATGAGTAATTAGAAGATGGTCTAGTACTGAACAGATGGCATGTGAACTGACACATTAAAAATCGAAAAGAATAGCAATTCTACAACACCTTCTCATAAATCAGTGGGGACATCATTCAATTAGTGGTAATGAGAATAGTCGCAATCAGTTTAGAAAAACAAAACCAAAGTCATTTCAGATTTATGTGTTACACTCTGCATTAAAATATCCCAGAGAACTGAAATGTAAGTATAAAAGCACAAAAGAAAATAAAGATAAAGGTTACTGAATTGGTTAAACAAATCTTTTTCAGTATAATACCAAGGCCAGAACCATAAACACCAAACAAAGTTGACTACCTCAAAACAAAATGAATCTGTACAGTAAAATACAGCATAAACAATATTGATAATAATTATAAGCTTAGAAAATTGCTGTGGTATATGAGACAATTAATTCTAATTATTTATATAGAGAGTTGCTACAAACTGAGATTGAACATCCTAACAGATTAATGTAAAAAATGTATATGAGCAAATCAGTAAAGTAAATGTAAATTAAAAACAATGAAATATTTTTACCTATAAGATTATTAGAGATTAGCACTGAATAATTATGGTCACTGTTGAAAATAGAACAATAATAATAATAATTTTTAATAATTATAACTTTAGCAGCTATTGCCAGTTTGCCTTCTGTGAGCGTTTAATCCTCTCACCAGCTACATATAGGTATGATGGTTTTCCCACACATCCTTACCAATAGAGCATATTGTCACAGTTTTGGATTTCAATTCATTTTATTGAGGTACTATGAGTCTAATTGAGGACCTTGGACATGCCAGGCAAGAGTTCTACCACTGAGGTACATAACTAGCCCCAGAGCCTGAATTTTGAAATGTCTACTATATATCATGTCATACCTGTATGTTCTTACACTAACAGTGCACATGCTCTATGCGTGCATGTGAACTCCTCAATTCAGGAGAGACCCCCAGGAGTGCAGCTGTTACTACTAAGCATGAAATTGAACACAGAGGGGAAATCTCCAGCTGTCGGAGGTAGAAAGGCAAAGAGGCCAGTCAGACCTGCCCCAGTCTGTGAGCTTCAGTTCTGGGTGGGGACCATGGGCTCCTTCCTTTCACTAAGAGGGGGAGAAGAATGTTCTCTTAATTGCCAAGGAACTGAGGAGTGGGGAGGGAAGGCATTGGAAGAGACTCAGCATAGCATGGAAAGGCTTCTGGGGGATGGGCCACTCAGCAATGGTGTTTCTTCCCACAGCACCACAGGTTGGGATAGAACTGGTACTTCTTATCATAGTTCTCTTGTTTCTTGAAAAATAGTAGGCAGTAGTTTTATTACAGTCACACAGCTGATACCTGCAGTATTCTTGGTTAGGGGTGCAGAATATTTTACCTCTGCTCTGGCAAAATTTGTAGCTCAAGTTCAGTATTGCACCCTTTCCTCCAGAAGGTGGTAGCAACAGTCAAGGGAGGTACAGCACCCATCTGTTGCGTCCTTGAAGAATCCTTTGCCACCCAGTGATAGTGGCAACCATGGAAGCCATAACCAGCAAGGGCATTCTTTTTGTGGCAAAATTGATCATGTATGGGAATTCTGCCAATTTTCCATAGGCCTGAGGCAAGCCAAAGGCCATGATCACTGCCTGCAGCAGGAGGGTCTTCATGCTGATGGTTCAAATAGTACACAGGCATGCTAATGTATACAATGGCTCACAAGTACCATGAAATCTTGATACTAGGGTGAACTGATACCCACATAGACAAAAAATTGGTAAAATCTCTGTGTTTGTGTGTGTAGAAAAAAATTGTAAGAATATAACTCAAACTATTAACAGCAAGTGGAAAGTGGGATTTCCAGTAGTTTTAAAAAATAATTTTTATATTGTTAAATTGGCTTGGCTATAGGTGATTTTTTATTCAAAACTATGAAATTATATTCAAAACAATGAAGTTTCATAATATTTAAAAAGACAATTTTTAACCCAAATTTCTTTATGCAGATTTAAGAAGTTCCAAGATAATGGCTGGAAAAAAAAACTAATACAACAATTATCAAATTCATCCTTTTGGGATTCTTGGATTTTCCCATGCTCAAGATTGTTCTCTTTGTTACATTCATGGGGACTTACCTTTCAACAGCATTTTGGAACTTGGGCCTCATCATCCTGATTGGGGTGGACCCCTACCTACATACACCCATGTACTTCTTTCTCAGCAACTTATCCTTCTTAGATTTATGCTATGTTACTTCCACAACCCCCAAAATGCTCTCAGACTTCTTCAGGAAATATAAATCCATCTCCTTTATGGGGTGCACCCCATGCAGTACTTCTTCTTTTCTAGCTTGGGTCTCACTGAGTGCTGCTTTCTTGCAGCAATGGCTTCTGATCGGTATGTTGTCATTTGTAATCCTCTGCTTTACACAGTCATCATGTCCCCCATCCTCTGTGTGCAGATGTGGTTGGAGCCTATATAACTGGTATTTTTGGTTCATTGGTCCAATTGTGTGCTTTACTTCAGCTCAATTTCTGTGGGCCAAATATTGTCAACCACTTCTTTTGTGACCTTCCTCAATTATTAGCCCTATCCTGCTCTGAAACATTTTTCTTAGAAGTTATGAAGTTTGTGATAGCAATGATTTTTGGTGTGACATCTCTCTTAATCATCATGATCTCCTATGGTTATATCATTGTTGCCATCTTAAAGATTAACTCAGTGGAAGGCAGGTCCAAGACTTTCAATACCTGTGCTTCTCATCTGACAGCAGTTACCCTCTTTTTTGGATCATCACTCTTTGTCTATATGCATCCCAGCTTTGATAATTCTTTGGGCTATGACAGGTTGGCATCAGTCTTCTACACAGTGGTGATTCCCATATTGAATCCTTTGATTTACAGTTCCTGGAATAAGGAAATCAAAGATGCCCTTAAGAGGAGTAGGAAGAAGAGAATGCTTTCCCACAGTCACTGTTAATTAAAAGGCTAGTGGGGTAGTAACTATGCTGACTGGAAGTGTCTAGACTATGTGAGAGAAATGTTTTTAATGTGATTCAACCTCACTAATGCTGTGACAGGATTTCAAGTGAGTAATCCATTTAATTCTATGAATGACTGCTTTAATGACATGCAAAACTTGTGTTTACTCTCAGTCTTGAGAGTTGACTTTTTCTCTTCCACCAGTGGTGACCTTGCAAAGAAATTACTACATCAATTTTTATGCAGTGTCAACCTTAAGTTCTTCAGGTTTTAACTCTTCCACAAATTTTCAGGCTTTATGCCAAAGAGAATGGGACTAAACACAAGGCCAGTGGTCTTTCTCAAGTGCTGCAACACAAACAATATAATGACTTTTGTCACAGACTTCAGACCCTTGGGTACATAGACAAGTTCCAATAGACAGGAGGGAATGTGGAGAAAGTGTAATTTTAGTCTTTGACCTAACTTCTCTGTCAAGGATGTGCTTAGTAGGGAATCTGGTCTAAGATTTGTTTTCTAGGGTTTTATTTTTAGAACTAAGCATAATAGTTTGAAAGTAAATGAAGAAAGGGAGTTTTATGTATTATGTATTGTAGTCCTGGAAGCTACAAAACAAAGAAAGAAGTGACCATTTGGTCTATATATTGGAAAAGCTCTATTTCTGCTGTTATCTTAAAATACAGTGATATCTTAAAATACATTTCTGTAGCCAAGGGAATAAAAGGAAATTTCTGGAACTGAAATAGGTATAAAGTAAAATCTGTAAAAGCTAAGGTAGCTCTAAAGATGTCTTCCACGTTGGAGTGATCTAATTAACTCTGGTAATACCGAGCTTGTTTCCCAGACACAAGGGATTTGGAAAAAGAAAGAAAAAGCTTGGGGCTTCCTGAATGCCTGATAGGAGATCCAGACTACATGTAACATTTGAGTGGAAATTCAGGATTTCCATTCATTTGAGTGGACTTTCAGGTTTTTGTGCTGCATTTGCAGAAAAGTAAACTCAGGACATGTAGCCATATGCTTACACTTTAATGGAGGCTTGTGGTCTGAATCCACATTACCTGTGCAATTTACAGAGTCTGCAATTGATAATTTATTTTAAAGTAGTCCCAGGTTGTAAGTGTCCTCAAGTACATACAAGTGAGGAGCACAGAAAAATCCTTCCTTATGATTATTAAGAGACAATCTAAACTCATACTCAAGACAATTCTTTGAAACAACCTTCTATAGCAAATTCAGTAACATATCTTAAAGTACACAAGGAAAGAAGACCATATAGGTAAAGATCAAGAAAACACTCCAGTATGTGGCCCATAAAAGTAATTATGTGACTTGAAATATGCAGGAAATGTTAGTTAGAGAACAAAAGAATGAAGTTTACTGAGGATTTCCATGTCTGGCCATCCTATCTGAAATAACTGAAATACTGGACTTGAAATAAAATAATTTTAACATGTGTTTCCACTTACTTTTGAAAATGAGCCATAAGCTAAGGATCAGATGAAGTAAAACCAGAAAACTAGGGAGTAAACAAGTGCCATAGTGACTTTTACCTGGGAAGTCCTGCTGCAGCTGAGACTGAGCTCCTGCTGAGTAGATGAACTGGATGGTGAAGGATCAGAAGACCAAGTCAGGCTATGTCCCATGGGGTCGGGAAGGTGATTTGCACAGAAATACCAGTGCACTATTCTCACAGACTGTGTTCAATCAAACAAAAAATGGTTCATAGTAAAAAAAAAATTACAAGATACAGTCAATCCCCCATAACTGAGAGCTAGAAGGAAAAAAAATTGCAGGTCATGTAAACAGATCTGAAAACCTTCCAGTATTGGAGTTATCATTAAAGAGGATAAGGCAGTTGGTATTAGCTACGATGAAACACAAATCAAATCTCCCCAGAGAGGAATTCATCTTCCCCAAAGGAAGAAATACTAAGAATAGGTGAGAAATCCCATGATTCAGTGCTCTGAAAACTGATGAATCAAAAGAAAGTTTGGTAAATTAATATAGTGGAATATTATCTGGTCATAAAAAGGAATAAAGTACTGACACAAGTTATCATATGGATGGACCTTGAAAACATCATGCTAAGCTAATGAGTGAAAAACAAAAGGATTGGCTATTATATGATTCCACTTTGATGAAGCGATCAGAATGGGCAGATCCACAGAGACAAATAAGTAGACTAGTGGTTGCCTAGGGACAATCAGTGGAGAGGAATGGGGAGCCACAGTTAGTGGGTATGGGGTTTCTTTTGATGAAACTTTCCAAAATTAGACTATGGTAATGATTGAAAATCTGTGAATATATTTATAGCCACTGAATTATCCACTTCAAATGGACAAATTGTATAATATATGAAGTATCCCTCAAGATAGTGAAAAGGAAGGAAGAGAGGGAGGGAAAGATGGAGAGTGGGAGGCAGAAAGGAAGGGAAAAAGGAAGGAAGGAAAGAAAGGGAAGGAAATAAGAAAAGACTCAGCGTATGGCTGAAGTGGTAAAGTGCTTGCCTAGCAAGTGTGAGGCCCTGGGTTCAATCCCCAGTAACAGGAAGAAAAAAGAGGGGCAATCCAAAATGGTGGCTAGGGTAGGGAATCAGAAATCCTAAGCACAGTGACCCCAGAAACCTTCAGATGTTGGAGCTAACTTGGGTAATTCTGATTGCTCCTAGCCAAAATAATAACCACCATCACATTAGGTGCAGATAAAATTCAAAGGCTGACCCTTAAATTAGCCTTTAATTGCACCTAACAGCTGTGAAAATCCCATGTGGCACAACCAGCAAGGTATGTCCTGCCTCCTGCCTGGGAAAACAAAAGCCCCTTGGCTGTTTCTCTTCTTTTTTTTCCTTTTCTACTCCCAACAAGCAGAAGACAGAGCATCAATCAGAATCAAATTCTGTGACATCCTGGATTCCTAAGCTGTGGAAAGACTCTGTATGCCCCACCTCACTGAAAAGAGCAGGCCATTTCTCCCCACCAGCTGGTTCCAAAGTTCCTTGTGTGAAGCAGCAGAAGAACAGGTGAGCATTATGCACCATGGGCGACTTCCCTATCCACAGCCTGGGAAAATAATCCAGTGCAGCCTTTGGGCAGACTGACACCTCCCCCCAAGGAAAACTGAAAAACATAAACAGAGAACTGTACTCTAACACCAATAGCGGAGGTGGGGGTGGAATGCTGAACCTGCCCTGGAGAACTGGGGTGAGGCAAGGAGCCAAATTAGCGCTGAACTCTCAGTGATCTAACACATGTCTAAAGCAGCAAAGGCTGAGAGCTAGAGCAGAGTGACAAGCCAACCTCCCAGAATAGCTGCCAGCACCCATCAGAGATTTGGAGAGGCATAAACGCGACAGGCCAACCTCCCAAAGCAGGGCAGGTGGTGGATCCAGAACCAGATCTCTGGAACAGAGGGCAGCATTCAAAATTCAATTACCCACCTTGCTGGGGGAGGAGCTGACCAAACAGAGCTGCCACTGAAGGGAAACCCAACTGCTGCCTGGTGAAAATGGCTCTGACCACCCTGCACAACCTGGCAGTCTTACCTCACCACACAATTCCAACTAATCTTGTGGATGGAAGGAACCAAATACTACTCACAAGCCAGTCACTTGGTGAGATAACATTAGAGCTTTTGATTGTGCACCAATGCCAGGATTAGACACCTAAGGAAAACTCCAGAACTTTTACCAAAAGACTGAACTTTCTGTGGTTCTTGAACTGGGTGTTTTTTATTGACTTTATTTTATTTTAATTTTTATCATTCCTGTATTATTAACTTCACCATCACTATTCTCTTACCCCTATTCTTACCTTCTTCACTTTCCTTCCTTCTCCTGTGCTACAATCCATTGTTCTCCCTCCCAATTACTCTTTCTGTCCCCTCATCCACTCTTCCCCCCCGTCTTCATCTCCCCATCCTATCCTTCTCCACCCTGTTACCACACTACCCCTCCCTCCTACACACTCACCACCTGCTGACTAGTCTACTGTATCAACAGTACACAACCCACCCACTGCAATCCCTGACACAAGCACCCTCCACGACAACAACAGAAATACACCCAAACACACACAAGGGCCACAAAACCCAGCAGCCCCCATAACTCTTACCCCATCTACCAACCCTTTTTCCCAACTCCCCTTTAATTACCACCTTTACCAATTCCTCAAAATTTGTAAATAACCTAATAACCATCACCTGCCCCAACTCTCACTGTTTATAGATATTATCATCAAGGGGTTTTCTATATAATATGTAAACACCTGGTCTGGCATGTAACCTGTGAATTTGTTATTCTTATATTACAACAAAAGCAACAGCAGAAAATATGCAAATAATTGGAGGCTGAATGAAACATTGCTCAAGATTAGTGGGTCATAGAAGAAATAAGAGGACATCAAAAGTTTCCTGGAAACTAAGGAAAGTGAGAACACCACCTACCAGAACCTATGGGACATAGCAAAAGCAGTCCTAAGAGGAAAGTTTACAACCATGAGTACATATTTTAAAAGGACAGAAAGATCTCAAATAAACTACCTAATGCTACACTTCAAACTCCTAGAAAAACAAGAACAAGAAAAACCCAAAACAAGCAGAAGGAGAGAAATAATAAAAATAAGGGCCAAAATTAATGAAATAGAAACAAAAAAAGGAAAAAAAAACATACAAAGAATCAATGAAACAAAGAGGTGTTTCTTTGAAAAAATAAGATTGACCAGCCCCTTGCAAATCTGACTAAAATGAGGAGGGGAAAGACCCAAGTTAGTAATATCAGAAATGAACAAGAAGTGACAAAAACAAACACTTAAGGAAATCCAGGGAATAATCAGAGAGTACTTTGAGAACCTATATTCCCATAAATTTGAAAATCTTGAAGAAATGGACAAGTTTCTGGATACTTATGACCATCCAAAACTGAACCAAGAGGATATTATCCACTTAAACATATCTATAAAATGTAATGAAAGTGAAGCAGCAATAAAGAGCCTCCAAATA